TTGTGAGCATTATTAACCGACTTAATGCCACACACTGATTAAATGTCCCGTGAGGTTCATTAAGGTACTCCACATACCATCACCAATCATATGAGTCACCCGGATGTTCGAAAATCTTGGGAAATTGTAAATTTTGTAATGAGTTTTGGAGAAACGCAATAAATTATTGATTAATTGCTATGAATTTGACCACGTAAAAAGTTTTGAACATTTAGGTATTTCATACAATTAGAGTTCCTGCTAATGTTCGAAAGAAAATACAACAATGTAAACATCGGCAAACTACAGTGAAAAATTTGACTTGCACTTACTTTTCTTATATGCCAGGCTGTTTAAATTTCGTAAATGAATATTCAATTAAGGACTATCCTTTCTATTTTAATTAACACCACTGTGGACTACTTGTCTCTATACTGCAGTATTAATGCAGCTACCACTTCAGTGAATAGATATGTAGTATCCATCCAAACAAGCAATGCTCAGCTTACTTAAACACACTCCCTTCCTCCTCCCCTAGAAGCTATCATATTATTAATTTTTTCACTATTTCTTATATATGATAGATACAATAGAAAACAATAGAGGTAGATATCGAAGGTACATTTGACAACACCTTTCCATAGAATCCTACAGAAGAAAGTGGAAGTACCAATTAAAAATTGAATTAGCTTCATGCTTAACAGCGGGAGCTGTAGTAGACATTTTCTTTCCGAATTATTCCGAGAACGGAAAATGGATATCCCTCAGAAGAAGTACTATCACCTCTTCTAAGAAGTCTAGTAGAGTCGTTCCGATACCAAACGAGCTTACAGACAAGGCGACTCCCTGTGGTGCGACTTCATCAATCTGCTGCTGGAGAAATTAATTCGAGCTGCACAACTTAATCAAGCAAGTACAATATTTTATAAGATTGTACAGCTGCTGGCATATGTTTATGATATTAATATCATTGGCCTCAACACTCGTGCCGTTAGTTCTACTTTCTCCACACTGGACAAGAAAGCAAAGCAAATGGGTCCGGCAGTGAACGAGGGCAGGACGAAATATCTCCTGTATTCAAATAAACAGTCGTCGTACTCGCGACTTGGCTCTCACGTCATTGTTGACAATCATAACTTTGAAGACGTAGATAATTTCGTATATAATATTTGGGAACCAGTGTAGACACCAGCAACAATGTCAGCGTGGAAATTCAACACAGAATAACTCTTGCCAACAAGTGCTACTTCGGACTGAGTAGGCAATTGAGAAGTAAAGTCTCTCTCGACGAACAAAAACCAAACTTTATAAGTCAAAAAAGTCTTGCGCGAGAGCGCGAGAGCGCGTAGCTCTAGTTTTATTCGTCGCATCGGGTCTTGCTATACCTTTTCGGATAGCTCATTTCACGCGCTAACACGTGTTTGATTGAACGTTTCTTTTAAGTCGTTCGTGAGTTATAGCGTCGCAAACATGGAGCAAAATAAAGAAAAAATACGGCATATTTTACAGTAATACAACGATAAAGGCAAAAATGCATCTCAAGCCGCCAATAAAATTTGTGCAGTTTATGGACTCAGTTTCCATTTCCACCGCACAACGATGGTTTCAACGTTTTCGTTCTGGTGTAGAGGTGGTCGAAGATGCGCCACGCCCCGGAAGGCCTGTCATAGAAAATTGCGATAAAATCGCTGAATTGGTCGAAAGAGACCGGCATAGTAGCAGCCGTAGCATCGGTCAAGAGCTTGGCATGGGTCATCAAAAAAAATTTTATGAACAATTGAAAATTCAATAAAAAATACCCCAATAAATACCGCAAGATTTTTTTGACAACCTAATATATGGAATTTCTTCATTATTTTCATTGATTTTTGAACAGTTGTAGCTTTTTTTATCTTTCACTGATTAAATGAAGATTAAAGTAGTATCATTGGAGATATATTACTGCATCTGTTGACAAAATACGAACTACCCAATATCCAATATTGTTGTAGACCAACATAGGGAACTTGGATCTACGAAGCCGTAGTCAAGCCAATAATGTTCCTTGTTTAATTTTTCTGATGGAAAAAGGTTCACCGTCTTAGCTTAAATTACCGAACCAAGGTAGTGTTTTAATGCAGAATTGATAGCTATTAAGGTACTGTTGCGAAGTGCAACCTCTTTCACAGTAGTGGACTTACATACAGAGAGGCAATCCCAATGCAGAGCTCGCTTGAAGCTAGTCAAGGAGCCTTTGTCTTCACTAAAAACAGCTTGAAACTACTTGATTATGATACTCTTTTGTGTGCCTGGTCATAGCAGAATAGCTAGCAATCGCAAAGAGAATAAGTTAGCTAGAGAAGGCACCCATATCTCGCTCCAATTGGAATGGAACCGAGTTGAATCTCCTTTAGCATTTTGTGTTCTAAAACTGGAGAGCAGAGGACACCGCGAGCGCTTAGCAGGCTCCTGTGTAAGGATAACCTTTTGGACTAGAGTAGAACGCAGAAAGTCCTGTGAATCAGTTGCTGCAATCGTAGAGACATTTCCCAATAGACAATTATGCGGTAAAGCTGAAAATCTTGTCGGACGCAAGTTTTCAAAGTTGTGTGAGCCAGAATGAGGTGAAACCCACCAGCACTTTCTCCTACAATGTCCAACCTTTGCAAGACTCTGGTTGAAACATCGCAGGTGCGACACCCAAGTAATTTTAGCGAAGTTTTTTTTACCGTCAGTTAAGATTTTAACCCATAGATCTAGATGTTATCGTACAGTCAGAGCACACACAAGTTTCAATAAGTAGTTTCAATGAGAATTAGATAGATCAGAGCACAATATGTACTCGAATCAGCTGAACAATAAAATTTGTACAGAATTTAAATATACAAAATAAATTAAGTCTGTAATCTTATTCTAATCGAATTTGTTATCATCCCTATATGGTGCCACCGTCAATCACCTTTTAACGGTTGCGGTAAGCGAGTGAAGAATTTGTGAAATTAATGAAAATGCAATAAAACTCTGAATATTAGTAAATGAATTGAATACGTGCATAAACATAAATATGTAAATAGTTTTGGACACTTTCAACACTTCACACATCACACATCTCCGCGATCCACGTACTTTTATTATATCCATTACAATCTTTCGCTCGCATTATTTCCAAAAGTTGGTTGCAATTACTATTATGCAAATTTATAGCATGTACATTTCAACCAATCTTTATTCATGAAACAGTTGAATATTTATGAAACAGTTGAATATGGACAAGAGTAATGAATATCAAAGGCAGTCACATCATGCATTAAAGTTGATTTACCTGTCCGAAACTTTATGCTTCAGCTTTTGCAAAGGTATAACTTACGACTTTTTATAATGAGTTATTTTTTCATTTTTTCCATTCATAATATCATTACTCTGTATGAATGCGAGATTAGTATTGTCCTCCAAACTATTTCACGTGATATGAAATAAATATTTTTTGAAAAAACTTTAAAGCAATTTAGCGATAAATGTATTAACGAGATTTTCCCGTCTAGAAATTTGAAAAATCATAATTCGATAAATTTATTTAAATATTTTAAATATTCAAAAATATTTGACTGCAACAACATACACCCTTACTTAAAACTTCAAACGCATTTTTCTCGAAGCTCCTTTTTTCGCTCCGACAATATTCAAGTTCTAATCAGGCGGCTTACTTGAAATTTGGCATGGATATTCTTTAAATATGTTCTTAGTACATAAAGCTGGATTTTTTAGTTTTGCAGCGTCTTGAGATAGTGACATTCGCACTAGTCAATAATCCATCATGGTTTCACTTCTCATATGAGCACAAGGATTGAAATCATGGCTACGAGAACACAGCCGTTTTTTCCCACTACTTCTAGAACGCATAACACAATGTATTTTTTTTTTTTATTAATTGTGTATTTTGAAAATATGTTTTGTTATCAATAGCCAAACAAGTTCGGCATTCAGGCTTCCAAATTAGAATATTACCATAAATGATGACTTAAATAATGGTTTTATTGCAGCGATACTCAGCTAACATACTCAAAAATAATGGGACTTTGAGGTAAGACCGATCTGCATTGCATCTTCCTTCCTATGAGACTGATGGTGAAAAATATTACCATTGGTTTGTATGGTATGCCTGTAGACCTCCAATTAACATCAAGGATCACGAATGTTTGGAGAAATACGGCCAAATTTCGATCAAATGTTTAGAAACATATGTACGCAGTTGTATTTATTTCTACTTTTCTCCTTGTGAGTTAAAAAGAAATCGACTTTTTCGAGATTTTTAAAGGTTGTACTTTTAAATACAAAATACTAAACTTTCTTCTAATTCTAAGATGTAAGCGTTCAGTTCAATCAGCTTAATCGGTTAATCTTTAAATAGACTATCGCCCTTTGCAATGCATTTTTTGAACTTATAGATACGTAAAAGGATCAATAATTTGATATATTGAAAGACCTTCCGTTATTGTATTTTATGAAGTGCTAGACACCCCTGTAAAACTTGTTCTTAGAATAATTATTTCATTGGTTAAAAAATTGATGGTTCTGGTAAACTCCTGGTGATTTTGATTTTTAAAATAACCATTGATTTTTAAAAACACCACCTTGTGATGTCTCGTGATGAACTTGAACGGACACCTGTTGCGATCAGTGTGCGATAATGCGCAACCGTCAACTTTTGTATACGTACGTATGTAAATAAAAATAAAATCATAATTTCCTAAATACCACAACCTTTCATACTATATGGTGTAAATATTTAGGATTCTACTCAATGTTGATGGAACCTCCATCACCCTTAAAAATATAAAACTTAAAATAAAATTGATCTTAACTCAACTTTGAGCGAAATCCATTATTTCTCACTAAACATTGAGTATATTTCGTTGTAAACTAAACATACAGTGGTGAGTGTCCTAGTTGAGTTATTGAGCAGTTAATGTAGCGCTCGCTGGAGTTCTTGTCTTCTTCCTTGCGCTGGTGGTGAATAGAATTCGTTGTGCGGCGCTGTGTGAAATACATGTGCTGTTGTAAGTCACGCTCGCCGACGGTATAATTGTGGACTTTTTTCAATTTTTCATTCGGTATGTTGTGAAAATGCAAGATGTTAATAGTGCACAAATGGAAATATAAATACTGAATAAGTGGAAGGTGTTTTTACTCAAAAAGTATGTACAAAAACAAAAGTTTAAATCACTCGACAATTGGTATCTAATAAAAATGCTTTGATGGATGTTTCCCAATGCTTGGAATTATAAATAGCAGCAATTAAATTGTAAAAGAAATGTGTGTTTAAGTGTGTTCGTAACTTCTTATAAAAAGACGACGTTTTTATAACAAATATGAAATGAAAATAAAATATCAAGCTTGTGTGTATATGATTATACAGACATAAAAAATAAAATAACCATATTATTGTAATTGCAACAAGCCCTTTCTCAAGTTCACTACAAACAAACAGCCATGGAGGAATGCGAGTGGCGTTAAGAAAACTCCACTCCAGTGCTTTTCCAAACAACAAAAACTACCCGACATATGTAGTCCATGTAGAGTCCCATCTAAATTGAGTTTATGTATTATAAGCGGTGTCTGCCTGTTGCACAGGTATGTCTGTGTGAATTTCTGTTTGTGTAGTCATGAGTGTTTGTTGGAAAATAAACTGGTATACTTTCATCAAATGCCGGTCCAACAAAGCACAATGCCTGATTTTGATAACGACAAAAGTATTTTGTTTTGCGAAGAACAGTGGGGAGAAATAAATCAAGTCTTGTTAACCATTTTGTTGATGATAGAAATACTACCGCCAAATGCTTAGATTCAATAATTATTAAAAAAAATTCACGTTTCGTGTGAAGTTAAAATACCTTATATTTAGTCTTAAGTGCGTGTCTAAACGCAAATTCAACACTAATGAATAATTGAACTGTATAGTTATTATTGCAAATTCTGCATATTAACCGACATATATCCCATTCCCCTTCCTCAGTTAGGTGTGTTAGATGTTGAAAACAAAACATAAAACTTGTTAGCCATCGCTACAATCTTAGAACATATTGTTCAGATCGAATCACCGTGAATCAAACAAAAGTGTTTCCAAATATATATCTATTTATGCATAAACGCCCCTATATCTAATAACGGTTCACATATTCATAAATATATACAAATTATATAAACTACACTTAGAGAATAATAAAAAAATTATCGATATTTGTTGCTGTGTTATACTTTCATATAAGTGTGAAACACACATAATAACAATAAGCAAGTCGTAGTAGAGGGAGAACTGCGAAAACCACAGTTGATATTGCTTAATACGTTTATTGATAACTGCCATAATGTCCGCGGTAGCTCAATTAGTATTGAAAGAAAAACACGTGTGGAATATCTACTCCCATTAACGTAGCATTAAATGAACATTAAATAGATGTCTCCGATTCGCCATTTCTCTACGAAACAATGGCAACCTATCGAGTTGAATTTGTTCAAGAGAAGGGAAGCATCATGGCTTAGCCGCTATCTTCAATGCTATCTTGGCCTATGTTACAATACTTTTACTATGGTGAAGGTAAAGGCTTACTGCAACGTTTTTAAACAGCAAAAAATATTATTTCTCCACAAAGCAAAAATCATAAGACTTCTTAGCGCAAGGTTTCACCAAAAGCCTGTTTGAGCATCTGGCTTAGATTGTAAATCGTAAATTACTGAATTTTAAATTTTTCTATGAGACGTTATATAAAGATAGAACAAAGTATGAAATTGAATAATTTACAGGCATTATAAATCTAAATAATATCAGAATTATGTTTTATTAGTTACGTTTTTTAATAAGGCTAAAGCTTTAGTATTAATTTTTTAGTACCACTTTCGAGAGCTCCTACTTCAGTAATTATGCTAAGCACACTAATAGTCATTTTATATAAAGTACTTTTTTTTTATAAATGTTTGAAAAATCAGAGTATATTCATATTTAAATAATATTTCCGTTAACTCCGGTTGGACCGTGACTTGACATGGTGAAGGATTAAATTTATTTTTATTATTCTTTTTTTTGTTTTTTTTTTGGTTTTGCTTATTAAATTCCTTTATAAATTGTTAAGGTAATATTTTCAATTATTATAAATTCGTTTAAGTTTTTAATACATTCGACATTCTCTCATATTTCTATCTATATACGCATGAATACTACTAAATAATTGCATCATACATATAGTATATACGCTCTTCTATGTTCATTAAGCATCTTATCTGCCTTCTTGTAAAGGCCAACCTCCACCAAAATTCCTCCCATCCACTAAATACAATCAGCGAAATTTGGTGTTGCATTCGGCATGCAGATGATGTGGATGTTTACCACCGGTACGCCTTTGACTCATTTACTGGGCCACATCCGGCAAATTAGCCGATTTTAATACCTCAGTGCATTTAACGCCACCACAAGCAAAATGCAATACTGCAATACTACAAGTATATATATGCACAGGTATTAACTAATTAAATATTTTACAGCTGCCTCTTCACTTTAGCCAAATTAGCAAACACCACAAAATTAAAAAAAAAAAAAAAAAAAAAAAAAAAAAAAAAAAAAAAAAATTAGCAAACCTCGCATACCACTAATCCTTAAATGAAATTGATTTTGTAGGTGAAAAATATATTTTATATAGTAAAACTAGAAATTTCTGAAAGCCATTTGTCGGTTAACCTGTGGTTGAAACCTAACTCAATGAAAATTTTCTTAATCTGTAAAAGTTAATAATGCGCTAATGCTGGAAAAATAATATTCATAAATGTTAAAAGCTGCGCATTAGCACAATAATTTTCATTTTAGCATTAGTAAAATTATAATACAAATATTCTATTTAATTCGTACTTGAGTAGTCATTTGCTAGTTTCACGACCTTCGTGATAAATATTTTGCGGCTTACTATTTGGTAAAAAAGGTTAAACTGTAATAATATACATTTAATAATATAAATAAATATGTTTGTACCCTTATCTATATTTATATTTTCATAAATATTGCACAGAAATGAGTTGCATTAAGAGTAGAGAAATGCAAATATTATATTGACAGCTTACTGTTTTGGGTATTTTAATGCAAAAATTAGTCAAATTAAAAAGCATATTAAATACTGGCTGATAATCACAATATTAATACATAATACTAATAAATGCTGCACTGTATTCTACACTGTTTGAATGATACCCAGACGTGGTTAGTTTTGAAAAATTATTCATAATGGATTTCAGTTAAAAAACTTATGAAAGACTTTGGTGCTAAGACTAGGTAAAAAGTTTTATTTGAAGTAAGTGTAAGTAAAAATATTTACTTGGACGTAAGAAGGGAAAATTTAGTATTTTAAAGCAAGTCATTGCAACAATTTATATTGTTTTCTGCTAGAAAGTTATACGTAATATTTATACCCTGAATATGGTATACGAAGTTTAACACGAAACCAGAAGGAAACGTCGATCACCTGTTAGATTTATAAAAGGTGCGTTCCAAAGTAAAGAGGCATTTTTGAATCTAGCGCCCCTTTTAGCGCCATCTACATGTCGACTGATGCGTTAGAATCCGCTATCTTTATTGATCGTCCAGTGAGAATTTCATGACATTTCATTTATTAGAAGTGAAGTTATTGCGTTTTAAGTGTCAATTTGTTTGTGTTACTGGTGCGAAAATGAGCTTCGATCAAAGAGTCAACATTAAATTTTGCTTTAAAATTTGTAAAACTTTTACCGAATCGTTTCAATTGATGAAAAAAGTTTATGACGATGGTTGCCTACCCCGTAGCAGAGTGCACTAGTGGCTTTAACGTTTTCAAAGTGATCGTGAGGACATACATAAATGACGATAAACATGTGAGCCAATCAAAATCCGTGATCAACGGAAATTCCATCGAAACTGTGCGTGAATTCATCAAAAATCAGCCTAAACCATCTTTAAAATTCATGGAAATGGAATGGAACATCTCCAAAACATCGATTTATCGCATTTTGACCGAACATTTGGACTTACGAAAGTTGTGTGTACGGTTTGTTCCGCACAAATTGACTGACGACCAAAAATTGCTCAGAATCCAACATTTGAAGGATGATTATTTTACCAAAAATCACATTTTAACAATTAACCACTCTCCGTGTTCACCTGATATAACACAGTGCGCCTGCATCCTTTTTGGAAAAATGCATTTGCCCATGAAAAAAAGCGTTATGAAGACGTAGAGGCCATTCAAAAGGCTTGCACTGTCATACTGGCGGCCATACCGGCCAACGAGCTAGAACATTCGTTCGATATGCTTTTGGACCGTGCAAAAAGATGTATTGAAGCAGAAGGAGACTATTTTAAATCAAATAAATTGACTTTGCCGAAAAAAATATTTTTCTCTATTTTTTTAGGTTTTCTTTACTTTTTAAAGCACCTTGTATATAAAGCATCCGCGTGATGAGCTCTGACAATTTAACCAAGTGCGTGTGTTTGTCCATCTGTCTAACTGTATACATATGTATATGCAAGCCCTCAGTCTGTCTGTAACTGCCGAGACCGGACCACTACAGCATATATCTGCCACACAAATTGAACGTTCAAAATCAGATCCTTGTATGGAAAACTCTTTGAATTGACAAAGTCTTATCACAAAGTTTAGAAAATAATATGAGTATTATCGAAGGTATCGCTACAATCTTGCAATATATTATTCAGATTGGACCACTATAGCATATGGCAACAGTTCGAAGTAACCCACTAAATCAAAATAAAGTTATTCATGCAAACCACTGACATATTTAGCAATAAATAAATGCAGCTGTAAAGGATAATATAGCTTCGCTAAAACCGAGCTTATACTATCTTATTGTTTTTCTTGGAAATTAATGGGGGATATATAAATATATCAATGCATTTATGCAATTCATTTTGTGAAATTACTGCTTTGCACGTATGCATATTCCACTTAATACACGAAAAGGTTAACAAACTTTTTCCGCATATTACGCATACCTGTTTCACACTACTCCACTCCTGCGCTCGAAATTTATTTAAAGGTTCTAACTACTTAACAATGCTTTCGCGCCTCTTCAAGTGATAGTTCCTGGTGTGAATGACGATTTTGTTATCTAAGTTACGTACTTATCCTTTTGTTTATTTGTTACATATTTTTCCCCATTC